CTTTCTACGGGGTGGGCAGAAAGCATTCTAGGAAGGAACCGAAGGGGGGCGGCGGTTGGAAGCACAAACACAAGACTTTGGAGAAAAGACTTTGATGATGTCTTGCAGACCTTCTGCAGTTTCCAGTTTGGCTGCTTGAAAAAACAAGCCCCTGTTTTGCATCACGGTGGTTATAAAAGTTCATTTTTGGAGGCTGGGGTAGGGAATTAGCTAATATTGATATGGCTGTAGAAGTGGACTAGGAAGCCGGGGGGGGGAGTTAAAGCAAACAACGACTTCCCCGGTCTTCTTCTATTCCCCTTCTTACTCCCAACCATTTTTTTCATCGAACACTTGTTTAGCAGAGGGATGAGAATGACTGCTAATCATCTGAAATGTCCCTTTCTCTCTCCGGCATTTAATTCCTCTTTGTATGCCACTAACACGTCGTTCTGTCTTTATCCCAAAACTTGCTGGCGTAGACCTTTCAGCGGCAGCACTTGCATTAAAGAAATATTCCTTAAAATGTACTTTCACCACGCAATTGACCAGGGGGGCTGGGGTCCTTTCTCCTAAAGCTACAGGACAAGAAATATTTAGAAAAGGCAGCACCTTTTTAGCTCCTCATCTTCTGGTAACGGGCCAACAGGGAGAAAGTTATAGGGGGAAGCATTTCCTGGCACAGAGGAGAAGCTGAAAGCTTCACGGCTAAAGTTTCAGTGTGGGAGACGCAACCGTTTTAAAAATATATACATATATAAGAAAGTCTGTGTTTGCAGCCGCCGCCTTGATGCTTTCTTACCATTTCCACCTGCAGATAAAGGCATCTGCACAGTGGCAGATGAAATACACTGTTTTTGTATAAAACAGCGCTTGGGTTACACCTGCTCTGTCTTTCTTGGCGGTTGGCTGCCTTTGAAGGAAACAGTAGTTCTTTCCTGGGCCAGACAGATGGTCATGGAGACCGGCAAACGTTGACCGGTCAGATGGGATCTAAAACGATAAGCGCTCTTCTACAATGACAGGAAATCATTTGAAGGCTGGCTTAACAGGGAAACTGAATGCAGTGTGTTTCACCCGCTTGCCGACGGAGGAACACCAGTCCTCGTCTCCCCCAGCGGATCACCCTCACAGCTCATAAGACCAGCAGGCAGCGCTCCTGATCCTCAAAACTAGGACTTCTCTGCCTCTTTGGGTGAACCACCACACCTATCGTCCTTCACCACTGGCCAAGCTGGCAAGGGCTGATGGGAGCGGAAGCCGACAACCTTTGGAAAGCCACAGGACACACACCCTCCCCAAAACGCTGTTCTGATGGTGGTGGTCTTGATCAGGAGGCCAAAACTGACCCTCAAAGGCTGCTGTCATCTTACTTGACTGTGTGTTTGATCCCTTTCCAAGGCCCAAGCGGAGCAGAACTGACAGGTCTTTAGCACAGAAGGCTGTGCCTGGTTCCTTTGAGAACAGTGGTCCCCAACCTCCAGATGTTCTTGGACTACAACTCCCAGAAGCCTTCTCCACCATCTCTGCTGGCCAGGATTTCTGGGAGTTGAAGTCCAAGAGCATCTGGAGGCCCAAGGTTGGGGAACCACTGCTCTAGAACAACTCCAGAGATCCACCAGTACGCCCTGATAAATCCTCTAGCTTGTCCAGCACCTACTTCCAGGTGTTCTTAGACTACAACTCCCAGAAACCTTCACCACTAGCTCTCCTAGCTGGGGTTTTTGGGAGCTGCAGTCCAAGAACACGTGGGTGACCCAAGGTTGGGAACCACTCTGCCCTAGAGGTTTTTGGACTGCAAGTCCCATCAAAATAGCCAATACATCAAAGAGTGGGGAATGCTGGGAATCAGAGTCCAAAAACATACAGAGACGCCCCACCCCTGCATCTACTTTTTCATCAATGGGTGCCTCTTGTGCTCATTTTCCTGAGGAAGAAGGGGGAAAAAATAGGAAGTACATTTTTCCTCTTTAGCAACCTTTTCCTCCCCCCTCTTAATTGCAAGAGACAGTACTTCAGAATTAATAAAAATCAATAGTTCTGGTGCCCTTCCAAGTTTAGGGAAAGAGGCCAACATCCTTATCAGTTGCACCAATACAACATACACAGTGGAGACGGTTACCCTGAACTAGGACAGGGTAGATTTTTTTTATCCCTTTCTGTAGCTCAAATGCCCTCTCTCTGCTCACGTGGCTAGCTCTGAGCCCCTTGGGACATTTCATCTGCAATTAATTCTACACCAAACCAGCAGGTTTTAAATATGCATGTAAGCAACGAGGCCGGAGAAGTAACACTGTCATTAGTGGAGAGATTTAGTCTCACTAACATTACCGAGTTCCTTCTCCTTCAGCCGGATAGTTATGTGTCACACCATCCCAGTTTTCCACGGACTCCCTCGTTCTGAGTAAATACAAGACAAGTCAACGAGAGTCGGCGTTTGAGATGATTTTTAATTACACACGAAAGCCAAGACAGGGGCCCACCGGGAACACACACACACACACAAAGAAAAAAATCCCAACGACCACCCGAAAATAACTTTTAATTACACACGAAAGCCAAGACAGGGGCCCACCGGGAACACACACACACACACAAAGAAAAAAATCCCAACAACCACCCAGTACGAAAATAACTCTGAGCCTTTTTTGGGGGGGCAAGAGGCCGGGGTATTTACAGACGACGGGAGTTTGGACAAGGGAGGACAGGGGCATGAGAGATAAAAGTGCTGGTCCCCGCAAGGCACAGCATGGAGTGAATGTCTGTGGGAGGAAGAGACGGATGCAGGTCTCTCCTGCTCTTCCACATTTCGATGCACGTGTGCAAGGGTGGACGCAACGGACCAAGGAATGGACGAGGCTGACAAAGCTTGGCCAACAGACATAACTCTTTTGAAAAGAAAAAGGAAAGAGCAACTATAAAAAGAACACGGGATAAGAGGAAGAAGCCCTGATTCTTCCCAGCTGCACCAACGGGGTCTTGCTCCCTGTCGGTGGAAAAACAGGCCAGCCTTGGTGACCTGCAGAGGCAGGCAAGGTGTAGGGTGTGAGAAGACCCTGGCCCCCGGCACTTTGACAGCAGCATGGACTTGCCATCCCGGCGCCAGGTTGGGGGGAAGATGCAGCACCAGCCGTGTCTTCGGAGTTAAAAGCACCAGAAA